TGCTTTTTTCAGTCTAGATAAAATTTTCTGATTTTATTGAACTTTTTTTTTCTTTTGACGGAGTCTTGCTCTGTCACCCAGGCTGGAGTTCAGTGGCATGATCTTGGTTCACTGCAGCCTCTGCCTCCAGGGTTCAAGTGATTCTCCTGCCTCAGCCTCCTGAGTAGCTGGAACTACAGGCACTCGCCACTACACCCAGTTAATTTTTGTATTTTTAGTAGAGACGGAGTTTCATCATGTTGGCCAGGCTGATCTCGAACTCCTGACCTTAAGTGATTTGCCTACCTCGGCCTCCCAAAGTGCTGGGAATTTCAGGCATGAGCCACCATGTCCAGCCTTGGACTTCTTTATACCTTTAAAAAAGTGTTTATTTCAGGTTCAGGGGTGTTTGTGTAGGTTTGTTACATAGTTAAACTTCTGTCACAGGGGTTTGTCATATAGATTATTTTGTCACCCAGGTAGTAAGCCCAGTACCCAATAGTTATTTTTTTCTGCTTCTTTCCCTCCTCCTACCCTCCACCCTCAGGTGGGACCCAGTGTTTTTTGCTCCTTTCTCTGTGTCCATGTGTCTCATCATTTAGCTCCTACTTGTAAGTAAGAACATGCAGTAGTTGGTTTTCTGTTCCTGCATTAATTTGCTACGAATAATGGCCTCCCACTCCATCCATGTTTCTGCAAAGGATATAATTCTTTTTTATGGCTGCATAATATTCTATGGTATATATGTACAACATTGTCTTTATCCAGCTTACCATTGATGGGCAGTTAGGTTGATTCCATGCCTTTGTCATTGTGAATAATTCTGCAGTGAACATACATGTTCACGTGTCTTTATGATAGAATTATTTATATCCCTTTGGGTATATACCCAGTAGTGGGATTGCTGGGTTTGGTAGTTATATTTTTAGCTCTTTTAGAAATAATCACACCACTTTCCACAATGGTTGAACTAACTTACACTCCCACCAACAGTATATAACTGTTCTTTTCTCCACAACCTTGCCAGCATCTGTTATTTTCTGATTTTTTAATAAGCCATTCTGACTGGTGTGAGATGGTATCTCATTGTGATTTTTATTTACATTTCTCTAATGATTAGTGATATTGAGCATTTTTTCATGGGCCTACTGGTGACATATATGTCTTCTTTTGAAAAGTGCTGTTCATGTCCTTTGTCCACTTTTTAATGGGGTAGTTTTTTTCTTGAAAATTTGTTTACATTCCTTATAGATGTTGGAGATCAGATTTGTGTCAGATGCAGAGTTTGCAAAAATTTTCTCCTATTCTGTGGGTATATTAATATGTTCTCACATTGCTATAAAAATAACTGATACTGGGTACTTTAAAAAAAAGAAGTCAAATTGGCTCATGGTTCTGTAAGCTGTACAGGAAGCATTGAGGCTTCTGCTTCTGGGGAGGCCTCAGGAAACTTTCAATCATGGTGGAAGCAAAGGGAGAGCAAGGCATCCCACATGGTGGGAGCAGGAGCAAGAGAGAGACAGCAAGAGGTGAAGGTGCACACACTTTTAAACAACCAGAGTTCATGAGAAATCTGTCATGAGAACACCACCAAGGGGATGATCTGAAACCATTCTTGAAGGATCTACCCTCATGATCCAATGATCTTCCATCAGGGCCCACCTCCAGTGCTGGGGATTAAAATTGAACATGAGATTTGGGTAGGAACACAGATCCAAACCATGTCAATAGTTGCTTGTTTATTCTGTTGATAGTTTCTTTTGCTGTACAGAAGCTCTTTAATTAGATCTGTCTGTCAATTTTTGCTTTTGTTGCAATTACTTTAGGCATCTTCTTCACGCAATCTTTGCCAGTTCCTATGTACAGAATGGTATTGCCTAGGTCTTCCAGGGTTTGTATAGTTTTGGGGTTTACACTGAAGTCTATAATCCATCTTGAGTTGATTTTTGCCTATGGTGTAAGGAAAGGGTCCAGTTTCAATCTTCTGCATATGGATAGCTAATTATCTCAGTACCATTTATTGAATAGGGAGTGCTTTCCCCATTGCTTGTTTTTGTCAGCTTTGTTGAAGGTCAGATGGTTGCAGGTGTGTGACCCTATTTCTGGCCTCTCTGATTCCGTTCCATTGGCCTATGTATCTGTTGTTGTACTAGTACCATCAGTACCTGATGTTTGGTTACTGTAGCCCTGTGGAATAAGTTGAGTAGCATGATGCCTCCTGTTTTGTTCTTTTTGCTTAGAATTGCTTTGGCTATCAGGGCTCTTTTTTTGTTCCATGTGAATTTTAAAATAGTATGTTTTTCTAATTCTGTGAAGAATGTCATTGGTAGCTTGATAGGAATAGTATTTAATCTGTAAATTGCTTTGGGCAAGTATGGCCATTTTAATGATATTGATTCTTCCTGTCTATGAGCATGAAATGTTTTCCGTTTGTGTCCTCTCTGGTTTTTTGGAGCAGTGTTTTGTAATTCTCACTGTAGAGATCTTTCACCTCTGTGGTTAGCTGTATTCCTAGGTATTTTATTCTTTTTGTGGCGATTGTGAATGGAACTGTGTTCCTGATGTGGCTCTCCACCTGGCTGTTGTTGGTATATAGGAATGTTATGATTTTTGTATGTTAATTTTGTATCTTGAAACTCTGCTGAAGAGTTATCAGCTTAAGAATCTTTTGGGCTGAGACTATGTGGTTTTCTAGATACAGAATCATATCATCTGCAAACAGGCATGGTTTGACTTCCTCTTTTCCTATTTGGATGCCCTTTATTTTTTTTCTCTTGTCCAATTCCTCTGGAGAGGACTTCCAATAATATGTTGAATAGGAGTGGTGACAGAGAGCATACTTGTCCTTTCCCTTTTCAAGGGAAATACATCCAGCTTTTTCCCATTCAGTGTGATGTTGGCTGTAGGTTTGTCATAGATAGCTCCTATTTTGAGGTATGTTCCTCTATACCTATTTTTTGAGAATTTTTTAAATGAAGGGATGTTGAATTTTATTGAAAGCCTTGTCTGCTTTGATCATCACCACCTATTGAGATGATCATGTGGTTTTTGTTTTTGATTCCATGTATGTGATGAATTACATTTAGTAATTTGCATATGTTGAACCAAGCTTATATCCCAGGGATAAAGCTTACTTGACCATGGTGGGTAAGCTTTTTGATGTGCTGCTGGCTTTGGCTTGCTAATATTTTGTTGGGGATTTTTTGAATCAATGTTCATCAAGGATATTGGCCTGAAGTTTGATTTTTTTGTTGTATCTCTGCCAGGTTTTAGTATTACGATGATGCTGGCCTCATAGAATGAGTTAAAGAGGAGTTCCTTCTCCTCAATTTTTTGGAATAGTTTCAGTAGGAATGGTACCAGCTCTTCTTGGTATAGCTGGTAGAATTCTGCTGTGAATCTGTCTAATCCTGGGCTTTTTTTTTTTTTTTTTTTGGTTGGAAGGCTATTTACTAATTGATTCAATTTCAGAGCTCATTATCGGTCTGTTCAAAGATTCAATTTCTTTCTGGTTCAATCTTGGGAGAGTGTATGTGTCCAGAAATTTTCTCATTTCTTCTAGATTTTCAAGCTAGATCTTCTAGTTTGTGTGTATAAACATGTTCATAGTAGTCTCTGACAGTTTTTTGTATTTCTGTGGGGTCAGTGGTAATATCCTATTTGTTGTTTCTAATTGTGTTTATTTGGACCTGTTCTCTTCTTTATGAGTCTGTGTAATGGTCTATCTTATGAACTTTTTCAAGAAACCAACTCCTGGATTCATTAATATTTTGAATGGGGTGTGTGTGTGTGTGTGTGCGTGTGTGTGTGTGTGTGTTTCAATCGTGCCAGGCTGGGACTCTGGAAGAGGCCAGCAGACTGAGAGGTGCATGCCCATCTCATGGGCAAGAATGTCCTGCAGCATTTAGGTCCAAAAGTTCCCCTAGGGCTAAAGTCTCATATGGGAACAAGTTGAGCCTAGGAAGATGGGTGTCCCTAGTCATGCTCCATTACGGATACTACTGCACCAAACCCTCTGGGCTCCACACCTGCTGGAGTTCTGCCTCTACCACTTATCTAAGCAGCTCTCCTTGCTAACGCAAGTGTCAGTGGTGGCTGAGGGGTCTCCTGCCAGGATTCCAGGCCAGTGGTGAGAGGCTCCTTGCCTGTTTACCGCACCCCTTCCACAGGAGTTACTGGGGGCCAGGAATGAGTTCAGATGTGAAGTAGCTCCGTGCAGGGTTCTCAACTCCCTTTCCATTCAGCCTAGCATCTGTGTCTTCCCCCTGTTTGCTTTAATGCCTTCCCCCTGAAGAGCTGCTAGGAGTGCACCAGTCTTCCTGACGTCCTGGTCCCTTGGTGGGAGATGTTCCTCCTGGCTGCATGCAGTTGACCATCTTGTATCAGGAGCCTTAAACGTTTTGAAACACTAACTCTTTGTTTCATTGCTCTTATCTGTTGTTTTTCTGTTTTCTATGGTTATCTTTATCCTAATATTTATTATTTTCTTCCTTCCATTAGCCTTGGGTTTAGTTTGTTTATTTTTAATCTTTAAGGTGTAAAGTTAGGTTATTGATTTGAGATCAATAAACAATCTTAGTATTGTTTCGATGAATCATATAAATCTTGGTGTGCTTTGTTTTCATTTTAATTTGTCTCAAGATATTTTCCAATTTTCTTTGTGGCTTCTTCTTTGACCATTGGTTATTTATGAATGTGTTTTGGGGACTGACATCAACAAGATGGTAAATCAGAACATTCCAGTGCTCATCCCACTGCAGAAACATCAATTTGAAAAACTATTCGCATATAAAAATACCTTAAAAGGCGCCAAGGAAACCAGGTGAGAGACTACAGCACCCAGGTGCAGCATAGAAATCAGAAAATATGCACTGAAGAAAGTAAGAAGAATCATTTTACATTACCCACCTCATCCTTCTCCCAATCCCAGGCAGAACACCAAGAAGAGATATATCTTCTGATTGGGGGAAGGGGAGGGAAGTAAGCACCAGCCTTTGCATTGAACCCCAACACCAGACCCACTTCAATAAAACCCAGTGCAGGGCAGGCCCCTACAAACCCTGACTCCAGGCTGGCACCTGTAGACTAAGTCTTCAGTTCTTTCCCAGCATCACTTGGAATCCCATAGCCCCTCAAGACTTGGTCTCCAGGCCTGCCCATTACTAGGCTGACCCCAGCAACGCAAGCTCTAGGCCACCCCCAGTGCTGGGCTAACTTAATGGCCATGAACATCAGGCCTGCCTCAGTGACTTGCCAGCTCCCACAGACTTAAGCTCCAGGTTGGTGCTTGTAGCCCCAGACTCCAAGACTGCCCAGTGGACTTGTTACTCTGTACTTCCCACAGCACTGGGCTGGCCCCCACTGCTCCAGGCTTCATAATTGCCCCAGCACCAGGCTGGCCCTAGCAACCCTACTTATCAGCTCTGTCCCTGTGGATACAGGCTCCAGGCCTATCCAGTGACAGGTCAGCTCCTGCAGCCCCAGGCTCTAGGCCTGTCCCAGGTTTCAGACCAACCCTGAGCAAGATTGGCCTACACAGTCCCAGGATTTGGGCCCATCCTGGTGCTAGGCTGGCAACCCTGGCCTCAGACACCAGGCTTGCAAACGTACACACCGTCCTCAGGCCTGCCAAGTGACAGGCCTGTCTCTGTGGTCCCATACATACTCCTAACTAGCCCCTGTGGCCCATGTTGCAGATCCAAGGTCTAGTTCAGGCCTGTCCCAGTAGACCTCAGTAGCAGACTGGCTCCTGTGGACTGACGCTACAAGTCCACTCTGTAGATCCAGTACCCAGACCCTATCTTAGTTTGTGCTCCTAAGATAAAATACTACAGACTGGGTAATTTATATATACAAAGGAAATTTATTTATCATGGTCTGGAGGCTGAGAAATTGAAGATCAAGGCATTGACTAATTTGGGGTCTAGAGAGGGCTGCTCTCTGCTTTCAAGATGATCCCTCAGTGCTACATCCTCTGCAGGGGAGAAATACTGTACCCTCACCTGTCAGAAGAAACCAAAGAGCAATAGAGAATTCTCTTCAGTCACAAATCCTTTTATAAGGTTGCTAATCCCATTCATTGGGGCTCCACCCTGGGATTAGCAACCTTATAAAGGTTGAACCCTTAATACTGTAGCATTGGTTTTTAAAAAATATATATATACTTTAAGTTCTGGGGTACATGTGCAGAATATGCAGGTTTGTTACATAGGTACACACATACCATGGTGGTTTGCTGCACCCATCACCCCATCATCTATATTAGGGTATTAAGTTTTAACATAAACTTTGGAGAGGACACCATCATTGAAACCACAGCAGGTCAACCCCCATGAACTCAGGCTCCAGTCCCATCTCAGTGGACCCATGTGACTGACCCATCATAGAAACTGGCTGACTGCTGCAGACATAGGTTCAAGGCCCACCCCAGTGCTAGATCAGCCCCTTAGGACTTAGGCTTCAGGCCAGCCACATGGATACAGACTCCAGTCTCAGCCTTGGGGACGCAGGCTCCAGGCCCACCTCCATGAACCCAATCAACAAGTCTATCCCAGTGGATCCGGGTTCCAGGCCCAACCCTGTGGGTCCACATGTCAGGCCCTTTGATATGCTAATCCACACACCAACCCAGCTTGCCTGAGGACTTCAATGCAAGCCCATTCATGGACCATGCCAGACACCATCCCCAGAATGTTGGCCATTATTTCTTCAAATAAGCTCTCTGATCCTGCCCTCTTTTTTTTTTTTTTTCTAGGACTCTCATAATGCATATATTGCTCTGCTTTGTGGTGTTCAATAAGTTCATTTTTCTTCATTCCTTCTTCTTTTGCTCCTCTGACTTGACAATTTCAAATACCTGTCTCAAATTCAATATTTTCTTCTGTCTGAGTTGTTGTTGAACCCTTTTAGTGACTTTTTTTCAATTCAATTACTGTGTTTTTCACTCCATATTTTCTGTTTATTCTGTTTTCTTTTTCTTTTTCTTTTCTTTTTTTCTTTTTTTTTTTTTTTTGAGACAGAGTCTCACTGTGTTGCCAGGCTGGAGTGCAGTGGTGCGATCTTGGCTCACTGCAACCTCCAACTCCCTGGTTCAAGTAATTCTCCTGCCTCAGGCTCCAGAGTAGCTGGGATTACAGGCACACACCACTGGCCCAGCTAATTTTTGTATTTTTAGTAGAGACGGGGTTTCACCATGTTGGCCAGGATGGTCTCGATATTCTGACCCCATGATCTGCCTGCCTCAGCCTCCCAAAGTCCTGGGATTACAGGTGTGAGCCACCACACCCAGTCCTGTTTATTCTTTTTAATAATTTCTATATTTTTGTTGATATTCTCATTTTGTGAATATATCTCCTTATTTCATTCAGTTGTTTTTCCAGGTTTTCCTTTAGCTCATCAGCTATTCTTGAGACAGTTATGTTAAAGGCTGTTAATTAAATCAGAGGGCTGCCTTTCTTTAGTGTGTGTTACTGAAAATTTACTTTATTCCTTTGAATGGATCACATTTCCTTGTTCCTTGACTGAATAGTCACCTCATTCTGTCTTTGAAAACTGGCTTCAGCCAAAGATAGACCTTCATTAGCCAACTTAGTGTGAAAATTCAAGGTTCTCTGATGCTTTTTCTTAAAATGTGTCACCACCAGCCCTGTGTGTGTACTTTTATTCCCTCTCCAATTCCCCTGCCTTATTTCCCCTAGCAGTCTCACATCTATTTATTCTCATGACATTAGGTGTTCTATTTTATGCCTCTCTTTGTCATTTCTTGCCCTCAGCCTCCTGTGAATCTTCAGTTCTCCTGGAGCTCTCACACGCCATGGTGCCCATTGCTGCTTTCAGCAGCCTCCACTCTGATATCCAAACTATGATGCCATTCTTGGCAATGGTTTGAATCAAGTAAGAGAGCAACCAGTCCCTCAGCTGGCTCTTAGACAAGCCAGAAATTTTTAAAGTAAGGTTCATTTTCCCCCCTTTTATCCTAAGGAAGAAACTGGGAATTGGGTGGCTTTTTTCTGACTGCTGCACTGCACTGAGTAGAGGGCGCAGCAAGGGTGAGCAAAAATGCCACAAAATTTCTACAGTTTTGAGTGTGGTCCTCTTCCTCCTTCTCCTCCTCCTTCTTCTTTTTCTTCTTCTTTTCCACCTTTTTGAGACAGAGTCTCACTCTGTCGCCAGGCTGGAGTGCAGTGGCGTGATCGCGGCTCACTGCAACTTCTGCCTCCCGGGTTCAAATGATTCTCCTGCCTCAGCGTCTTAAGTAGCTGGGACTACAGGTGCACCACCACACCTGACCAATTTTTGTGTTTTTAATAGAGACGGGTTTTCACCATGTTGGCCAGGATGGTCTCGATCTCGACCTTTTGATCCACTCACCTCGGCCTCCCAAAGTGCTGGGATTACAGGCAAGAGCCGCTGCACTCGGCTGGTTGTTGCAGCTTCTTAGCTGGTTTCTAGAGCTCCCAGAAAGTACTTTGGCCTTGTGTTGAGGTTTATGTGATGTTTCCATGGCCAAATGAGGGCCTGGAGTTTCCTAGTTTACCATATAGCTGATGTCACTCCAGAATTCCAAATCATGTAGAAGAAAAATTAAATCTTGGGCCTCTTCCTTACCAATTTGAGGATTTTAGAAGGAACATAATCTCTCTTTTTGCTTCAGTTTTCTTATTTGAAAATGGAAGATAATGACAGTTTGTTTTAAGTTTTCATTGAATAAAGAATAAAAATTCTTGACACGAATGATGCTAAATGTTTGATAGTAGTTATTATTTCCTTTACAAAAAGTTTTTACAAAGGACTCATTCTTTTTGGAAAAAACATAAATATTACTAATGATGAACGTTTTTAGAATGATAACTATATGTCAGGAACTTTATTACTAAAGTATTTTCAGTAAAAGTGTTTGTGTACACATGTTTATGCCTGAGTGACTGGTTTGTTGGCTTGTGCATTTACACATTGTTATAAATGCACATCTATGGGTATGTACAGTGAACATGTGTACATGTTCAGTTTGTGTGTGACTGTAAATTTGTTAATAAATTGAGCTGTGCATATGTGCCTGTGTCTATGCCAATGTGGACTCATGTATGAACAGTATCTGTTCCGTGCAATCCAATGCACAGAGGATTTCATGTGTGGTGTATGTTTATTTTTTCAAAATATGGAGGCACTAGTACACATGTCTTGCCTTGGGGTAGACACTGGCTACATCCAAGGAGTTGAGCATTACAAGCATACATCCATCCAGGCAAATAGCAACATGCCCAACAGTGCTCACGGAGGCAACCCTTGCAGTTCTGACCTCTCAAGTGAAGACTTTTATCTAAGAATAATAACAATAGTAATTATAACAACAAAGGATGACATTTAGTTACTTCTTAGTAAATGCCAGATATTATTCTAAACATATTATATACATGAACTCATTTAATAATCACAACAGCCTTAAGAGGCAGTCTCTTATTATCATTTTAAGTTTTTATATTATGTTCAGGGGTACATGTGAAGGTTTGTTACACAGGTAAACTTGTGCCATGGGGGTTCGTTGTACAGATTATTTCATCAACTAGGTATTAAGCCCAGTACCCAGGAGTTATCTTTTCTGCTCCTGTCCCTCCTCCCTCCCTCCACCTTCAAGTAAACCCCAGTGTCTGTTATTCCCTTCTTTGTGTTTATGAGTTCTCATCATTTAGCTCCCACTTGTAAGTGAGAACATGTAGTATTTGGTGTTATGTTCCTGCATTAGTTTGCTGAGGATAATAGCCTCCAACTCCAACCATGCTCCTGCGAAAGACATGATCAATGACATTCTTCACAGAACTAGAAAAAAACTATTTAAAATTCATACATAACCAAAAAAGAGCCCAAAATAGCCAAGGCAATCCTAAGTAAAAAGAACAATGCTGGAAGCATTACTTTACCTGACTTCAAACTATACTATAGGGCTACAGTTACCGAAACAGCATGGCACTGGTATAAAAACAGGCACAGTAGAATGGAATAGAGAGCCCAGAAATAAGGACACATCTTTACTACCATC